CCCCCTCTCTTTTCCCTTATCTCTCTCTCAGTACTCACCCCTATCTATGGCGAAATCCGAAAACCTCTCGTGCTTCTCAAGCATCACAGCACATGCATCTACCACCCCCTCTCCTCCCATCTCTCCTTCTCTCTCTCTCTCTCTCTCTGTCTCTCTCTCTCTCTCTCTCTCCACTCCCCGTTTCTCCTTCTCTCCCACCCCTCTCTCACTCTCTTACTACTCACCCCTATCCTTGGCGAGATTCGTAATCCCCTTGTGCGTCTTTCTCCCATCACAGCACATGCTTCTTTCACCCCTCTCCTTCCCTCTCTCCTTCTCCTTTCCTCCCTCCCCCTCCCCCCCCTTCCTCTATTCCCACTCCTCCCATCTATCTCAGTACCTACCTCTCTCCTTGGCGAGATCCGTAAGCCTTTTATGCTATTCTCTCTCTCTCTCTCTCTCTCTCTCTCTCTCTCTCTCTCTCTCTCTCTCTCTCTCTCTCTCTCTGTCTCTCTCCCTCCCTCTCCCCCCACCCTCTTCCTCTCTTCTTCTCCCTCTCTCCTTCTATATCTCACATCACTCTCCAAAAAGACCTTTCTGTCATTAAAAAATACCCTCCAAAAAGGCAAAACCCCATTCAGCCTCCTCCGCTCACTTCCCCCCTACTTCACTGGCTTTGTAACACTCTCGACAACTTTCTCGCTACCAATACTCTTCACCCCCCCCTCTCCACCAACCAAAACCCCCTCCCCAATCCACCCGCACCCCACACCACCCCTCCCCATCCCAGCACCCAGTTTCCTTCCCCATCCCAGCACCCAGTTTCCCACCCAAACTCCAAACACCCTCCCCCCTTCTATTTCTCAGTCTGTCTCTCTGCCCCTCTGCCTCTGTCAGCAAAAGACAGCAGAAAAAGCCAAGAGTTTGTGCACACACTCCAGTCCCCACTCTCGCCGCCCCCTGCTTCAATATGTCCCCTCCAGACGACACCAGACGACACGGGCCAACACTCCAAGATTTACTTTGGTACTTTCCTCCTCCACTCTCTCTATTCCTCCCCTCTCTCTATTCCTCCTCTCTCTCTGTTCCTCCTCCACTCTTTCTATTCTTCCACTCTCTCTGTTCCTCCTCGACTCTCTCTATTCCTTCACTCTCTCTTTCATTCTACACTCTCTCTGTTCCTTCTACGCTATATCTGTGTTAGAGGCACATGTGTGAGCGAGTGTGGGAGAGAGAGAAAGAGAGAGAGAGGAAGAGAAAGTGAGATTAAGAATGATAGATAGATGAAAAGAGGGAAAGAGATTGATGGATACTGAGAAACGACAGAGAGAAGGGGAGAGAGAAGAGAGGGGGGGCGGGGAGAGAGAGAGGGAGAGAGAGAG